TAATAATGATAATAATAATAATAATACTAGGCCCTTATGATAAATAATATATTATAAGCCTAATATTATTATTACAAAGTCGGAGAGTTTCTATTTTGTCGACTTTCAGTTGGTTTCTCCTTTCCTTGTGTGCAGTTAGGGTCTATACATTGTATCATTATTTCGAATGTGTTATGTGCTCTGCGCAGGCTAGCAGGCTATAGCCTATATTGCTGGCTTCTTGAAAATTATATTTATTCTTTTTTTTTTTAAAGCTGAAAGACCCCTTTTGAGTTAAATGATGAGAAAAGATATAAATGTTTGGGTAGAATCTATTCGAGACAAGTATTTTAAAGTCCTAGTTATCTTGAAACTCGAGTACTATAATCCTGAGCGGCTCGACGAATTTGTTTGCTGTTGTCTAAACTAAAATTTCACCAACCCACCCTACTTCCTTAGGCCTATTAATTTGTCAAAATTATGTACTGTACGCATGAGTTTCTAGAGTACAAGGGGCTCACGAAAGATGACGGCAGATTCAGGATGAGAGCAAATAACTGATAAAAGAACAATATTTTACTTATAGGAAAAGGGAGGATTCATCTGTACGAGATCAAACTTTTATCGTGGCAGTAGAGAAAAGGAGAGTAGAAACACAAAGGAGTCTCAGAAAAAGTTATGCTTACATTGGAAAGCTTTCTTTCAAGTCATCGCAGATTACATGTGTTTGTGTGTGTGTGTGTGTGTGTGTGTGTGTGTGTACGTGTGTGTGTACCAAATTATAAAGACAATTTTTCAAGATGCTAAAATATTTAATCATAAGAAATGGATAAAAATATACTTTTTAACTGAATTTAAGATATATGATTGCATGATTTTAGGCGTGTGCCATAACTAATTTTATGTGTAAGGAATAGCGGACACAAAAGAGGGTCAATGTTTGCTTTCTCTAATTTGCTAACAGTATGTCTTGGTCTATAAATAACATTATTGATCATAATAATTTTGTTTCCTGGTTTTCACAAAGTGGAGCTCACAATGATTTCAAATATTTAAAAAAAAAAAAAAGAGATAACAGCACCCTTGGAGGTGTGATTTCATGCATGAGCGTGGATAACCTTTGAAGAGTTTTTTTTTTTTTCTTCAGTAAAATATGATATAGAGAGCAGCATTTTTAGTCCCTTATTACACTTCAGAGGGGGATAATTTATCTTAGTGATGACTCTTGTGTAGTAAAATTTGTTGT